GAAAATTCTTTAGTTTATGTAATTTTAACATTATGCTTTTGAAGTGTATGTGTTGTACTTCAAGTTTTTCATTTTTGTTTTTTTCCTTACGGAGAATTGCAATAGCATATTTTATGGCAGCGGCATGTGAAATTTGGCTTAGGAGCGATGACAAAGTTAATTCAGAATTATCGATGCTAAAGAAATATCAAAAGCAATGGTAAGTTATAGCTCATGCCTGAATTTTTGCATTTTGAAAGTGTTGAAGAATATTATATTGTGATGTCTATTACAAAGCTATATTCCAACTCAAAGAATCATGTTGAATAAGTATTGGAGACATTGTGCAATTTGATAAACCATTAGCTTCTTAGTAAAATGAAATGCATCTCCAGGAGTTAGCATGTTATTTCATCCCGTAAAACTACAATGTTTGTAGAAAACCTATGAACTGCATAGAATCATCTATTAGATTCAAAAATTTTATTCGTACATTACATTTTAAAAATTTTAGCCCCCCGTGGTCCAAAAGTCTACACAAGACGCCAAGAAGGAGTTGAAGGGTTACGGTCATTTATGGCCCAGCTTGGTCCATACTTTGTACCGTGTCGTGCACTGCCAGATATGAAAGGGAAACCTTGGGTCAATGGTTCCAAAAGTCTACACAACAAGGAGGTGAAGGGTCACGGTCATTTATGACCCAGCTTGGTTTGTACTTTGTACCGAGTAGTGCACTGCCAGATATCGAAGGAAAACCTTGGGTCAATGGTTCCAAAAGTCTACACAACAAGGAGGTGAAGGGAACTAGAGATCATTAATATTTCATAAAACATTAAAAGAAAATACTGCATCGCAGAATCAGCTCAGAATCGGAAGAGCAACTAGTCTGACTAATTGAGCAAAGTAACTATTTAATCCCATTTTTCTCTTGTGGGTGCTTGCCCTTTTTCTTCTAATGAAACCAATTCAGTTTTTGCGTCCAAATGATCTATGTCAATTACCTTTTGAATTGATAGAGTAACAGTGATCCGATAAATTTGGACTATTTATAAGTCGTCCTTTGACGATTTATCCCTAAGCAATCGTTAACTTGACCTAGACCTAGACCTAGACCTAGACTTAGACCTATTCTAAACAACGTTTAGCATACGAAAAATAGTAAAATACAAAGACTCTTGAAAACAAAAATTCAAGTTCTCTAGATACACCGACTTTTGTGGAATTGAAACACGATCCATGACTTGAAGTAACATGGAAGATACCTTGCACCAAGGTTGAAAGCTCAATCACAAAGACTCTTGAAAACCAAAATTCAAGTTCTCTAGATACACTGACTTTTATGGAACTGAAACATGATCCATGACTTGAAGTTTCATGGAAGATGCCTTGCACCAAGATTGAAAGCTCAATGCCAAATTAAAAAACAAAAACTAACAAGAAAAGGAACCAAGATAGATATATTGACTTGTTGGGTTCCAAATCACGTTGAATTTGACAGTAATAATTTTAAATATACTTCTTCTCTAATCTTGCAAAAAAATGTTGCCTTTTTTTATATCGCAAGTATACGATATCATAACAACCAGTATATTGAATCTTTAAGTCTGGATGTCGTTCCCACGAAGACTATACTTTAGGACTTAATCTATTTTTCTAACTCCTATTTGACAAAAGCAATCAAATATTTTGATGGTTGTGATTTTTTTTTAAACTACTTTTAGCTAATTGAAAATATAAAAAGATTGCAAACAACGGATAATTGAAGAAACAAATATATGATGAATATTAGAGCATAAAATTTTCATCTATTGATCACCTTAATTCTTAATTCAAGATTCATAACCTAATGTAGTGTTCGATTGAATTCTTATATTGTATTCAATTTACAGCTCTCGAGTTCTCATTGAACCTATTTAACTAATTCAATTCCATATCTCTAAGTGAATCAAGTTTAGTTAAATGAAATACTAGTTCTAAAAATTCATATTATGACCGTAATAATTAGCATCTGTATCTCTACACGATATACTGATTTATCGGATTTTATTATTTGGTCTAAATCTCAAACTTACCTCTCGATTCGTAAGAGACTTACATAGTCATCAGGTAATTTAATGCATTAAACTCATAATAAAACCAACACATAAATAAATAAATCACAAAAGTCTTGAATAAAAAAAATAAAGGATCACAAGTCGACTATATTATTTTTCCCTAGTATAAAAATTAGTTATTCATATTGTAAAAATAATAATGCGCAAAAGTGGAAGGATATCATAAAAATTGACGAAATATGAAAATTTCTGGTGTTTGCAGTTCCTTTTCTTTTCTTCTTTTTCTCTTTCCTTTCTTGTATCGTATGATATATACAAACTGTAGTCAAATCTATAAATCGCTTATATAATCTCAAAGCTCCTTTCGAGAACTACATTATAGGCGGCATACTGAATAGTTCAAATAGATGTCAAAAATAGTTAAAGATGCGTCAAACGTACGTCTTAAAAAGAGGCGTCTAACTCGCATTTTTTTAGAATTTTTAATTATTTCATTAACATTTATTATTTTTGTGATACNAAAAAAATCAATTATTTTATTAACATTTATTATTTTTGCGATACAAATTTCTCGATGTAATTTTCATCATTTATTAGGAAATTTTATATGAAATATGACATCAAAAATTTTCGAAATTTTACATCCGAAAAAGTCATATCCCATGTAAATTTTCGAATGTAAAATTACATAGGGTATGATTTTTTTGGATGTAAAATTTCGATTGTAAAATTTCTCCCAACTTCTTTGCAAGTTCGATTGTGCCCTCTAACTTTAATTGTCTGCGTCCGCCCCTGGGTTGAATGTGGCAAGTTTAATCACATTTTTAGTTAACAAGTTTTAACTGTTTGAACATCTTGAAATCAAAGTTAGTCGATTTTTTAGAGACGAGAACATTTACACAAGACCGTATATTGTTCCATTCACAATTTGTAGATACTGTTTCTTCGCACAAGGTGAAATTGTTCGTATCATTACATGAAATGGTTAGTATCATTCCTTCGGTATCTTATATCATTGGCAATCTAGACAAACAGTGACCTTGGAATTATTTTTCCTAGATTCATCTATGTACACTTTGTTCAAACAAACAGAGCTCCGTGGAGTCAATAGAGAGTGTATTGATCTCTTTAAATAACACTCACTTCCTCAATGAAACAAAGAAAGCATTTTGTTTGGTTCCAAAAGGTACTCAAATCATGAGGAGAATGGAAATGTGTAATTGGATGAATGAAGTATACACATCATAGTTAGTGGTTGAGGAGATAATATGGAGCCCAAAATTTTAACAAATAGATTGGGAAATTTTTTCAATATAGATATTTTGAAATAGTCAAAATGGAAATGACAGCCCATCATGGAATGCTACCATCATGGAATGCTAAAATGACAAAGCATGTGTTCAAAAATTATTGATCCAATCATTAATATTTCATAAAATATTTAAAGAAAATGTGGCATTGTAGAATCCACTCAGAGTCACAATAGCAACTAGTCCGACTTCTTGCACAAGGTAGATCCATTTTTCTCTTGAGGGTGCTTTCCCCTTTTTTCTATTGAAACAAATTGTGTTTTTTCGTGCACATGATCTCTGTTTGGTTTATCTGAATCAAGTCGAGATCGTCAGTTACCTTTTGAATTGATAAAGTAACAATGATCCCACAAAATTGAACTATTTATGAGTCTTCCTATAACGACCAGAAATCTTTAACTAGACCTATTTTAATCAACATTTAACAAACAAAAAAATAGTTAAACTCAAAGACTTACGAAAAGGAAAATTCAAGTTCTTCTAGATACACCAACTTATGTGGAACTGAATTGTGCATTAAAAAATTGGTTTTAATTCGTTGGTTTGACCAAATTTTGACCAATTATTTTAGTGGGTCTCGTTAGTTGGACAAAAGATTTCTTTGGCCGAGTGGGTACTCCATAAGTAGATTAATATAATGTATTTATTTTCTTAAAACAAATTTAGTGTGAATGTGAAATTAAGGTCAAAAGATGACCACTTGAAGTTGAAATAAATTGGAAATAAAAATTGGTGGGAAATTGGAAAATGACAATCCTACATAGGAAAACTAGAAGAATAGTAATCACTTTATATTACTCAAATTTGGGACTTGTGTTTGGCCCCAAAGGGTATCTAGAAGATGCCGTTCCACATATAGCCAGATCAAGAATAAGGAAACAAGAATCTTTCCTCAGGAATGAACTAGGCACAAGCCTAGTTGTAAGTGAGGTGCACGCCTCTAAGGCCATTTGGCTTGTGACAGTGCTAGGAGGGGAAATTTTGTACTAGCCCGTGCATAGTTATGTCCCTAGCAGTCATTAGTATTTTTGTCATAATTTTCATTTTTGATATCGAATCGAGGTGATATAAAGTGATCATCAGTTCGAACGTTTGTTATGCCAAAATAGGTCTCAATCTAAGACTGAAAATTCGGAATATAACTTTTTCAACAGAAAATTGATGTGTGATAATATTTTAACTATATTTCACCCTTTTGACTTATTTTTTCATCCAATTGACATCTAACACTCTCTAATCTTCATCATGAGGTTCGATACAACATTTGAGTATTTGCACTTTATTTTTCAAACTTTGGATCTCTTACAATTGAGTCATTTTCCCCATTTTTCTCAAATTCCGCCATTTATGTCGATTTGTACCTAACAGACACAATAAATATAGAATTAAGCCATAATTCATAAAAATAACCAATAAATACTTTAACTGGAAGGTCCAAATAAGTGTACAAAATACATATATCAATTCATATATGTACACTTTGTTCAAACTAACAGAGCTCAAGCATTGACTGCAACGAGTCAATGGCGAGTATACTGCTTTCTTCAAATAACACGTACTTCCTTTCTCAATGAAACAAAGAAGCCTTATGCCACGAGAAATGGAGAATCTATTTTCCCTGGTTGTTTTTCCGTGTTTTCTCATTATTTCTGCATTAATGGCAACATCAGCCCAGCAACAAAGATATTCCAATATTTCCGTTGGATCTTCTTTAACCCCCAGTACAAATTCATCATGGCTGTCATCTTCTGGACTCTATGCCTTTGGATTCTACAGTGTAACCAATGGCTATGCTGTCGGAATTTTTCTTGCTGGGATTCCAGAAAAAACTGTAGTGTGGACAGCCAACAGGGATGATCCCGTTTCTCCCATCAATGTGGTTTTGCTATTAACCAACGATGGACGGCTCATTTTGCAGCACGAAAATGGAGACGAAATAGTGATTGTGAATCCCAACACGTCTGTTGCTTCAGCTTCAATGCTTGACAATGGCAATTTCGTGCTGTACAATTCGTCTCAGATTATCACGTGGCAGAGTTTTGATAACCCGACGGACACTCTTTTGCCTGGCCAACACCTCTCAGTCGGAAAAGAGATTTTCTCCAGTGTTTCGGAGACAAACCCTGCCACAGGGATTTTCCGTCTCAAGATGCAATCTGATGGGAACCTGGTGCAATACCCTGTGGGAGCTGAAGACATGAAGAATAATGCTTACTATTCATCACACACCTATGGAATGGGCAATAATATATCATTGAATCTTGATAATAATGGCCATTTTTATTTGTTCAATGGAAGCTCCATTGTAAGCAATTTAACTCCAGGACAATATCGAACAAGTACTATCTACCTCGTGAGAATTGATGTGGATGGTATTTTTCGACTATATAGTCGCTCATTGGATCGTCAAGGCAACTGGACTAAAGAATGGTCATCCACCGAAGATAAATGTGTCCCAAAGGGTTTGTGCGGGTTAAATAGTTTCTGTATTATCATGGATGGGGTTACAAGGTGTGAATGTCTTCCAGAATTTTCACTTGTTATTCCAGGCAATTGGAGCTCAGGATGTGAGAGGAATTTTTTCATGGGAGGTTGTAAAGACAACGATCAAAATGTCAGTTATAAAATCAGATCACTGGATAATACAGTGTGGGAAGATACTTATTATGCGCTTTCAAAAAATACGACGACTAAAGAAGACTGTGAAAATGCTTGTTTAGAGGACTGCAACTGTGATGCAGCTCTCTTTATCGATGGAATCTGCAGAAAGCAAAAGCTTCCATTGAGATACGGAAGAAGATTGCAGGGTGATGATTCAAATGTTACTCTTGTCAAGGTAAGCACACGTTCATCCTTCACACAGGGAGTTCCTAATAATTCAGCTAATGAAATCAAGAAAGAACGTCATCTAGACATGTACATCATCGGCATTTCGCTTGTTGCTTTGGCTGCATTGATCTTGGCAATTTCTTGGGTTTATGTCCACCGAAATCATGTCGGGACCTATACGATTTCCAACAATAGAAATGTTGAAATGATTGATGATGTTGGTTTACGAGCATTTACTTATGCAGAACTTGTGCAAGCCACAAATGAATTCGAAGAAGAGCTCGGTAGAGGAGCTTCTGGTACAGTTTACAAAGGGATCCTATCAAATGACAAAATTATTGTGGCTGTGAAGAGGCTTGAGAAAGAATTAGCAGGAATGAGAGAGTTCCAGACTGAGATGAAGGTGATAGGGAAAACATATCATCGTAATCTAGTCCGACTTCTTGGTTACTGCCATGAAGGATCCAAGTGGCTTCTGGTATATGAATACATGAGCAATGGATCACTTGCAGATGTACTTTTCAATCCTGAAACTCGACCATGCTGGGAAGAAAGAATTAGAATTTCTCTTGATATTGCCAGAGGCATCCTCTACTTGCACGAGGAGTGTGAGACACGAATCATTCACTGTGATATTAAACCGCAAAACATTCTCATGGATGAGCGCAGGTGTGCAAAGATTTCCGACTTTGGACTGGCAAAACTCTTAATGCTAGATCAAACATACACAGATACAGGGATCAGAGGAACAAGGGGTTATACTGCCCCAGAGTGGCACAGGAATTTACCTGTAACAGTTAAAGCAGATGTATACAGCTTTGGAGTCGTGCTACTAGAAATCATATGTTGTCGAAGAAGTGTTGATCGGAGACTCTCTGAGAATGAAGCTATTCTTCAAGAATGGGTTTACAACTGTTACGCTGCCAGAGAGCTGAATAAACTGGTGGGATATGAGGAGGTTGACACAAGAACATTGGACAGGATGATTAAAATTGCTATCTGGTGCATCCAAGACGAGCCATCCATGCGTCCGTCAATGAGGAATGTTCTATTGATGCTGGATGGGACTTTAGACATTCCAGTACCTCCATGTCCTTATTCTTTCCAATGTACCATTTAGAATGTTTTTTCCCAGCTTCTGCATTCTGATTCATCTTTTTTGTTGGTTTTGTGAAGGTAATTTGAGCATGAGAACAGTTAATCAGTCTGGTTACAGATTGATTCGTGGACATTACTTGCATTTTCTTGGATGTTAAAGTTTAAGTTGAAGATTTTATTTCGGGTTTTCCGCAACTCACTTGGATGCATTCCCTCTATAATATGAAAAATATGAAATGATACAATATTATAGTGTCATATGATAGACAATAGACAATCAAACACGAATGTCATTCGTATCAAATTCGTATTTATTCAATTTGAAGAAAGACAAAGCTAACAAGAGAGTTTTGGTTAGGACTGGACAAAACTCCCGAACCGAACAAAATCGAGCGGTTCTTCATAAGTTAAATACCCGAATGGGTATCTGAATCGAGAACCGATGTGTTTGGTTCGGTTCTAAACCGAAAACTATTCTTGGCTTATTCTTGATTTAGATAATAATTTTTTAAATTTTTTATATTGAATTAATTAAATTATTTTAATTTTTTCTAAACATATTAACAAATTAACTAATTTAGTGATTAATACTTCAACTCCCAAGCCAAGTCCATGCATAGCTAGTCCAACCTAACCCAATTTCTGAATTCAATTTTTTGGCCCAATTATTAATTTCATTGTTAGCTCAAGATCTAGGCATTTTTAAGTTTTTCTCATTCCCTTTCTAATTTTATACTTTCATTCGATATTTTCGATCATCTCCTTCCTAGTTAATGAAATTTAAATGTCGTATTGAACGGGAAAAGATTGTATGTAAAAAACTTGCTATTTTAGATATTCCTACTAGATGGAATTCAACATTCTTAATGTTAGATAGTGCATTTAATTTGTAAAAGCTACGAAGGAACATATCATTAGTTGTATTTATGTAGTATTGCTGTAAATGTTAAAAAATTTAATTATGGTACGGAATCGAACCAAACCCAAATGGTTCCATAATTATATTTGGACTCAACGATTTTCCATTTATTAAATACCCAAAAATTTTGGTTCGATTCAGTTCTCAAACGAAAACAAACCGAACCATGTCCAGCCCTAGTTTTGGTTATGGAAAAATAAGGGGGACACCCCAAACATTCTACTACAACTGCATAGTTCAGATCACCTGATTTTACCTCTCCAAACAGTAACAACCTTCTCAAGCAAATTTTGGTCGATTTTAAAAACATAAAAATTCCTGATTCTACTTGTTCTTTGAAAGTAGCATCAACTACACTACGTAATTTTAGGCTTTCATCAGTGAAACCTTATCGACCCTATCGAAACATCCCTTCTTTTTACTCCCATATCGTGTTTACTCTTTCATCAGTGAAACCTTATCGAACCTATCGAAACTTCCCTTCTTTTTACTCCCATATCGTGTTTACATTGACCAAAAAAGTATTGAAATTTAACTCCAGGAATCAGCCTTCATTTCTAAGAAGAAAAACATGACAACCAAATTATCAAAACAAAGACTTGTAACTACATGGTCCTCATAGAATTCCAATCTTTAAACTTCAGACTCCAAATTTCTGCCATGTTTTACCCGCAGTGGAATATTCAGCATTTTTAAACTTCCCCCAAATAGAATCATTCAATTAATTCTAAACTTAGTCATAGACACTCGCGAGCTGATGAGCAATTCATCAAATATAACCTTTTTCAAGACGCGGGCTAAACTTTTAGTACGATAATAAAATGAAAATTCATGTAAGCCATAAAAGTGAATACTTCTGTAAATCCCCATATATCACAAAATTCCATCATATAACTTTGAATTTTACACAAGGATCAAATTATTAGCTTTCTTAATTACAAATTGGTGTTAATTTTATTTGTCTTTTATTTTATAGCTAAACGAATTTCAAAGGTTTATTTTCATTTAAATTAGGCTGAAAATTAGAGTCTTGAAAAGCAATTTGAAAAATATTCATGACAGAAGAATGAAAGTTACAGAATTTCGGAACTTGTCAGAATGTCTCTACATTTAATTGAAGGTCCAACAGTGAGGAATATGGAAATATCTTTTTATATTATTTCCTTGATCATCTGCACTAAATTATGTTTCCTTATTGCACTTGTCGTGATTTTGGTTATATGAAATGTTTGAATTTGACATGTGCATAAGAAGGTAATGTATATTTCTTTAAATTCAGATTTTTTGTATTGTATCCTTGTCTAGTTGCGATTTCTGCTGTTAGGACAGTTTCACAATACGACATGTTCTTGATTTTGGAAACTACGCCTCTATTTTTTCAGAAGATCCTAAAATTATCGTTCACTTGGTGCACAAGAGACTACCTTATATACGATGAGCGAAGATTATGTTTCCATATCTTATATATTGTGATGTTTCATAGACATCATTTTCTAAAAGACCTGCATGTTCATTGAGTGTTGCACGTATTCAACTTTGGCAAAAGCACTTGGACTTTGTACAACTAGTCCAGACTATCGAATATTGTTGTGTTTCCTCAGATTCTTAGAGTGATTTTATCTTTTGCGAAGGTTTTTTTTTTGAAGTTCCAACTCGCTCGTGTGGTGGATACTTCAAGGAAGACTTGGGGAATCTGAAAAACTCCATAAAAGAGGCATATTAAAGATAGACAGAGACAATGGCCTTTCTCTAGTCCGTGATTGTGGATATAGCGCAGTCAGAGTGGTTTCAAATCAGGTTGGTCACCACAGTTCCACTCCTGTTGCGGGTGAGATAAATAAGGAGTTTTTGTTTCTCGTAATTTCAATTTATTTTGGTTGTGAACTCAAAACTTGGTTGGTTGTGCATTCGTTACTTAAATACCATGATTCTTCTGTTTATCAATAACCAGGTCTAACATACAGATTGAGCTTATTTAAGAAGTGCAGCATTATCTTCACCGTCCTCGGCTCAGGCATCAATTGCACTCTCAATCGTCAAAATCTTGATGTTTTACTGCCCAAAACATTGAAAAGAAAATTAAGACTCGTGTTATAAAATAGTTTATTTTACACGAATTGGTAGTGATTGATTACTACCAAACACGAAATTTGACTTGAGCGTATTGGCCTTTCTCATTCAGAGAACCTTCTCTTTTGTAACCTTAAATTTCTATCGTCTGAATTTGATTGACAAGCCAAAATTGGTGCTTCAATGGGGGATTACTGTGTTTTGCATCGAGACACGGTGCACTTGAATGAATTTTTTGTTTTCAAAATAGCTTATTTGTTTCCTTATCATGGTTCATTCAAGCTATTGATGTTGCAATCAAAAAATTATTTTTGGTTTTGTAGACAATTTGTTGCTATGAGGGCCAAGTTCTCTCTATCGAGAAAAATAGAGTTCTTGGGACATTATTATAAGAAAATTCATGAAACACTTGATATAGATTTAAATATGAGTTGTTTTGCAAATAATTAATGGATTGTCCTTATAATTATTGCTAAGCCAATATTCGGGAAGAATTTGTAAATGATTTTAATTTATAAATAGATAAAAATGAGTGATGAACTTGTGAATATTAATAGTACTTATGATTATATTGGTATGTGTGGTTGAAACGAAGTTTGTCCATTTACAATTGTTTTATATAAAATTTGCAAAATGGAGACTAAGCCCCTGTTGGGTTTAGAAAAAAATTAGTTTTCAAGTAAATTTTTATAAAAGATTATAAAATGTGTTGATAAAAGTTGCGGATCACATAAAACGTGTTATTGGAAACAAATTTGAAGGAAGATAAGTTTTAAAAAATAAGAGTAAAAAATGTGGTATTAATTTTCATTAAGTAACTCTATTATGTAACAGTAACATTATT